TAATAACAGAAACTGAGAACTTTTAAATGGGCTTTGTCAGGTAACTCAAAGGGTTTTTATCATCATGAATCCAGCCAAATAGATTTCTCCGAAGTATTTCTTCAATGCTAGTATGATGGTGACAAATCATACGGCACAGAAGAGAACTTCCTTAATTTATCACTCTGTGTATTTGCCTCACATTTTGAAATTTGTAAATACTGGACAATGCCACAAGCTATATTTGAGAGACATCCTGGTGTATGAGTGTATATGGAAGGTCATTATTTTATAAAAAGAAGGGCAACATTTCTGCAGGAGGCTTTCTTATGGGAAAATCCTCTATTTTGCTGGTTTCTGGCTGAAAAATAATCCTGTGATTTTAATCATTTTTAGGACATTTTGACACTTCCTGTTCTACTGATAAGACAGGGCTCAATTTTTCTATGCACTTAACTGTGTGTTAAAGTTCTGTTGAAGCCAACTGAGGTTCATATTCAGAAATGAGACTGTGCTTTAGTGCCTGCCAGAGTCATCAGGAATTGACAATTCCCACTTGTTAGCATTTTAGGATGAGAATTTTCTATTTTATTCATAAGGACAGCAGGATCCAATCTGCTGCCTTGATATTGGTAATGCCTGTTTTTTCACTGTATAGAAGCGGGATACGAAATTCTCAGACTTGAGCACAGAGAGCAGCACCAATATTTGACTCACACGGTATTTTCCATCTAAAAATCTCAAAGCACCTTCAGTGCAGGCTCATGTCCTACTATCTTCCTACAAAAAAAGAAGATAAGCAGGGAGGAGGTGAAATGGCTTTCACACAGACATCCAGAAACCTGTGGCAAAGAAAGAACATGGGAAGTGAGTTGATGCCTGTCCTTAACCAAACAATGAAGAGTTTGTTTGCACTTGCTGGGAGCATTTATGGCTAATTTGGGCATTCTGTATGTGAGGTCTTATTCAGCCCAGTGAAGCATTCTTGTATAGTGTGAACAGTAATTTACATGCTTTTGGCAACCTGGAAAAAATATTGACTCTCCCACTCTGTCACTACAGTGTACCATTGACAAGATTAGTTTGGGAAAGTTTAGTTTCATCTTCACAGATTCCTGTTGCAACTTTTTTGAAACTCAGATGGAAAGATCAGCTTAGACCAGGACAAGGAAGAGGACTAGAACTAAAACTAACTTGGAAAATTGGGGTGTTGTTAATCAGACTCAGATTGCTCCATTCAGCCAGAGATCTGCAGAATCAAGCCATCGAAAAGCAAGCTGCCCTAGAATAGGGCAGAAATAGAAACTAGGAAGGAGAGAGTACTTTTATTAGGGGCAATCCTGGACTTTGCAAGACTGTAGAAGAAAGAATGCTTTACTCCTTCACTTTGCATTTTACTGTCTACCACTTGATGAATACTTTTGTCTACTGCTTTACTTGAATCCTATCAATTTTGACCACTCTGCTTTACAGCCATCAGGTTTGAAAATTGGTAATGCTCTGGATTCTAGAGGTGTGTTACTACTTGGTCTATTTTGGAGGGTTGGTTTTTTTTTTGTTTTTTTTTTTAATTGACTGGAGGTTGGTAAAGTGCTAATCCTTAGGCTGTGTTCGCACTGAGTTTGAAAACATGGCTAGTAAAGGCTTCAGCCCAAGTGAAAAGAGAAGCCAGAACTATAAATTTTGAAAATCAATTTCAATAGAACTATTTTTAAGTAATTTCTTCTATTACCTCGTTAATAGCTGTATCTTACCCTCTTCTCTTTCCTGAATACCATTTCAGTGAAGTAAAAGATTAAAATTGTGAGCAATAAAAGAAAAATATGAGGTTATGAAAAGAATTTCATTTTTCTAGTTCTCTTTACCAGATGACATTGTGAGAATTCACATTGTGCTCTTCAGGCACCGAGGTTGCTTGTTGACATCCCATTGCTGGGCTGGCTAGATTGATGGGAGTATAAAAGTAACCTGGAAGATGAAATTTAAAATCAAGTACTGGACTACTTTTCCCTTTCTCCAGAGTCTCTAAATCTCACAGGGGTTTTTCAGAGGTTTCTTAAGTTCTGTGTTGAAGAAAAGGGAAAAAAGAAAATAATTTTTGTACAGTAAAAGTTTTCATTTGTCATTTTGATTCCAGAGGATAACATGTCAAATGTTGTAAGCTCACCATAGTGGCTTTGATTTTTGCCAGAGATCCAACAAAACTGTGCCATTTTAAAAATCAAACTTGTTAGAAATATCTGTGCAAAGCAAATGTCAAATATGTATGCAGGAGTATTCATGATCCATATTTCTGGTCTCATAAACAAGAATTTGAGCCAACAGTCCATAATCATCAGCCTGATAGAGAGCAAAACCACTGTTGTTTACTTATCCAAATAATGTGAACTAATCAATACACCTCAACAAGTGAATACTTGAGAAAAGAATTCGTGCTTTGTTTAAAAAGTTGAAAGAATTAATTGATCAATTTCTGATAATGAAAACATTATAGGAAATTGTAGTTTGATTATGGAGCAGGAAGAGAAGCAAAATGTACTGGTTGCCATTCTCTTCATGAATTAGTGCCTCCTGCTATGCATCCTGTTGTGAGAGGTCTAACTGACGTAGTGCGTAACACAGTTATCACTGTTATGCACAGCTCTTATATAATACCCATCTACTGTTAGAGAGACGATGAATCAATAGTCAGTGGTTAAAATTCCTTGAGTAATTAATCAAATCCTTTTCTTCTAGTATTAAAAATGTGCCATTTTCCAAACAGATTTCTGAAAAGCTCCAAATTTCTGTGAATTTTATTTGTATATGGTAATAATCCTTTCTCTCTTGTCCTTTCAGTGTCCTTCTCCCTTCTTTTCCTTCCTCCCTTGTGCTTACTTTTCTAATCTCTGTTAATCATATAATAGAAACAAATCCATTTAAACATCATAGCTATTTGAAGTGTTTTATCAAGACTATCCAGCAAAGCAGACACAGTTGAACCTCATGGCACCTTCCATTTTTATAGGGCCTCTTTGCTTCCTTTGGCTCCCAAAAGAAGGTGGAAGTATATATGAAGTGCTGAGTATCTCAGGTTTTGTAGCTATTCAGTACTGCTCACGGAAAAGATCTACCAAATTTCTAACAATTTCCTACTGTGTTTTAATATTTCTCTAGAAGAAATAATTGAAGATGTCAATTTAGTCATGCACTTTAACACGTTGGCAAAATTGTCTTGATAGCTCCAGGTTTGATTTTGCATGGGTTTTCATTTTGTTTTTGTATTTAATTTTTGTTTGTTTATGCTGCGTGTTGGTTTTTAAAGATGAACTAATGTGATCCATTTTTTAGTTCACAGAAAAAAATATCATATTTTTTTGTATGGCAAGGGGTTCAGAAACAATTTCTTCCATTGACACTATGCAATCATGTGACAAAAGGCTTACCTCTTTGCAGTAATTGTCACAAACCCTGTTCTCATTCACTGATATGTAGCATTCCTGATAGAAACTCAATTTCCCTGGTTCCTAGACAGGAACTTTTTATCACTTTTTAAGGTGGAAGCTGTCGCAGGAGAAGAATGAATGGGAAAAAAAACCAGGCAGGTTGCTTTATATATAGCACTATGAATTAAGTCCTTCAAAGCTCATAAATCAACATTAGCAGTCAATGGTTTTTAAATGGGAGTTTGATTTTAGTTCTTATCTTGATTAAAGAAATTCATGTTAACGTTTTTTGGTTTTCCTCAGCAACAGCAGAGCTGGAGAATCCCCAGCAGGAGCTGGCACCAGGGACAATTCTGTAATCTCTGTCCTGGTGGGAGCCTCTTTTGTGGCCAGAAGTCTGTGGCTGTAGGTCTGTGAGCTAACCTGGGTTCTGCATTTCAAATTAGAGCACTGGAAACCCTATAAATAAAACAGAACATCTTTACAGAGGCAGACATTTTCTGTCCTCAGCCTGTAACCCAGACACAGCTTCCACTGTTGTTTTTTATTCTTTTTTTCCTAGCAGCTTTTTAGAGGAAAGCGAAGGTGATGCTGTGAATGTATCTGCATGTCCCTTTTTACAGTACAGTTGAGACTGTATCCAGGTCCCTGGAATGTACACAGTTACAACATCTCTGAAAGTTTCTTTCATATGGTTAATTTCAACAGTAAATGGGTAAAGCGATCACGTTACTGTTCCAGAATTTATTGGATAGGCAAAAAAACACTGCATCTTTGTCTTTCACAGATGACTTCACAGACAGCAGAATTCAGTACTGCTACCCCTCTTTCTTTCTGAATTCTGCATGTCCTCAAAGGATGTGGATCTTACAGTAACACATAAAACACAGCTTATGCAGAAATAGAATTCCTCTATAATTTGTACAATATGAAATTTTAGTAGTTTACATTGTAAAAATAATGTGATTTTATTTCTACTGTTTTTGCATATTCCTATTTCCTTTACCATATAAAAATGTATTATTTTTTTCTATAAACTTCCCTTTATAACTTTAATGACATTCATTTCCTTCAATTGTGTTTAAGTATGCTGTTTGTTTCACTGATATAAATGACTAAGAGGATTTCAAAAAAGAAAATTAGCTGCAGATGCTAATTCTGTTTTCAATTTTGTAGTAATTTTTCAAAACCTGCCAGAAACTGAAATTTGGGAGGAGCCTGATGTGAGACCACCATTACAAAACTCAGTGGAACTGGGCTGCTCCTGAGAAGAAAATGTCCACACTTGCATTTTAAAGTGAATCATATATTACCATCTTAAAGGCAAGGTAATTCTTCTCCTCTCATTTCAACTAGTAGTATGTGGATAGAAAATTTATTGATCAATTTCATACTCAGGAAACACTCAACAGTATCACTAACATAACTGCATACTATGTAAGGTCAGGACTTTATGTTTATCCTGTTTCATGTCTGCCTTGCCTTTGGAGTGACGTACAGATTTTGTCTGAAGTGCTGAACCACATGTGCTGGCAGTAGCTGGACAGGCTCTGTGTAATTCATTGTGTACAGAAAGTGCTAGTTGGTTGTTAGGTAAGCACATGAAGTTTGGATGGACATATTTAGCCTCTTCTGGGTAAGTTACATAGAAATTTCTTGGATGTCACATTCTGATTTGATTCGTTCATTATAAATGCTAACGTTGATAACATCTTTTTAATTGTAAACAAGAAAGAAGAAAAATAACTAGTGGCATTTTACCTTTTTTGTGCCAACTGAATGATGCCAGAGTGCACAGAATGACAGCAGAAAACTGAGCATAGCTTCTAAAACCAAAGAAAAGTAGTCTTGTATTTCAAAGGAATTCAAGTTGGTTACACTTTCTCTTATTAAAAAACAAAAATCAATGTATATGCATATATATAAGGCAAGAAATGAACCAACCAAAAACCTGTAAACTTTGCTCTAGTGAATGAGTTCTTTGGCAGTGTGTGGTAAAACTAATGATACCTCTCTGATTCCTTTAACCTGTTGTCAGTGTATATGGTTGCCAGATGAATGACATATAATATGAATTTTTATAAATGTACATAAAATGTAGTCTTGTATAAAGAAATATTTCCCTGTAACTACTTCCCATAAGAATATGTTTAACACAGGCTATTTTTTTAATGCCAAATACTTAAGTTAAAATGCTTACCACCAATTAAGCGTTTTCAGTCAGAACACATCTGTATCCTATAACTCTACAGAATAGGGTGCTGTCCCGTGTTAAAAGGGATTTACTCCTTGCAGCTTTCCCAAGACAGAGTTGGAAAAAGATCTTTAAAACAAGAGATGAAAATGCAAAAAATACTGTACTTCATTGTTTATTTACAGTGAAGTTATATACAGGAGATTAAAGAAAACCCTCCTGCAGTAGGCTAATTTGAAAACACAGAAGCATTATAATACTTAGAATAGCATTAGAAGCATTAGAATAGTTTGCTATTTCCATCTGCAGATGTTCACTGAGAAATAAGATAATTTCATGTCAGATTGCCACTGCCTCCAGACTTTGTGTCCCTGTAGTACCTCTTCCCTATGGGAAAAATATAATAATGATATGAAATTGCCTCACTTGTGTTCTCAGAGAGCTATAGCTGTGTTCACCTAGACACAAGTCAGTGGCTGGCAGTTGCAGCTGGGCATTTCTCTCTCATTCTTGGTCTTCCTGTTCACGTTCAGATGTCTGGTTTGGCCTGGGATAAAGAAATGAGGGGCCTGAAACACCAGGGTGGCTTTGATAGGCAGCTCTTTCAGTCGTGCTAGTATACTTGGGTAGAGCAGAAAGAGCACCTAAGTGCACAAATTGAGGTCAAATGGCACCTCAAGTCTATAGTCAGGAGCGAGCTCTACTGAGAATATATGTGCTATTTTAGTCTTTGTAGTCATATGTCAATATGATTAAGTTCTTTACAGAAAGAGTGGTGAGGTGCTGGAACAGGCTGCCCAGAGAGCTTGTGGATGCCCTATTCCTGGAGGTGTTCAAGGCCTGGTTGGATGGGGCCCTGGGCAGCCTGGTCTAGTATTAAATGGGGAGGTTGTTGGCCCTGCATGTGGCAGGGGGTTGGAACTTGATGGTCCCTTCCAACCCTGGCCATCCTGAGATTCTGTGTGATTCTATGTCCATGCATCACAAACCCATATACACATATGAATGTAGTTTACTTGGGTCTCTGGAGACTACTAACTTATTGCAAACTTTAGTATGGAAAACCTGCATGTATGCCATGAACGCTTCTGAATGACTTCCCTACACTGGAAGAAAAAAAAAAAAAAAAAAAGGCCCAACTGCTTCCTCTTCTTTTAAATGTAGATGTCAATTGTGTGTCACATCAGTTACCCGGTCATAATGAGCTTCTTTCAGATGAGGCATAGAAGTCCTGACAGCTTGGTGATTTTTATGTGCATAAATACAAACATACATAGACACAGATAAACCTTCATTTGTACTAATTAGATAAGCAGTCTAGTACCACTGTGTCAGGTTATCAAAAGAGGACTGAAGTGCAACATGCCCTGCAAAGCTTGAGTTTTTCAACTTGCACGTGCCTTGCTCTGTGTCAGGTGAGTGAGTAGACATTCCCTAAAACAAAGTGCTCTTGACTCTTAATTAGAAAAGATTCTAAAAGAAGCTATCCAGAGTATAAAATATTCATGCAAAGGGATTTAAAATATCATCCACTTCATATTATTTTAGTAGTAAATTAAAGCTTGTCACATCTAACAAAATTATAAAGTTAGATTAGCAGAGAAGGAATCGGCACTATTTTAGCATGCTGAAGCTACAAAATAGTTCTCTCTGGCCCCATTAACAGGTTCAAGAATTGTAACAGGGCTCTCTAGATTTCTATTAAAATAGTATATACAGTATGATTACAATACATTATATCTTTATATAATATTTATTCATTTCCCCCTAGTATTTTGAACTTTGTAATCCTTTGGTCAATTATTTTCAGAGAAGGAAATTGAAATTTCTTTCATGGCAACTTTGACAAATGTACAGCATATGTATTGTAGAGCATTCTCGTGGGAGAACTTCAGAAAGAAAATTAGTTCCGTCAATATGCCATGAGATCATTAGCCTAGGCCTTCCTGAATCTTTTGGCATGGCATACATACAAAGGACTCTTTCATCTTCGTTGCCTGCTTAGAAACATTGTCTAAGATCAGTATTATTATCCCTCTTAACTACGTCTCCCATCACTCACCCTTCCTCTCCGAGCATGGATTTAATAGAAAAGGTATAGTTTCCACACCAAAAAATAAGTAATAGAATCTATATGTGTGTGTGTGTGTGTGTGTGTGTGTGTGTGTGTGTGTGTGTGTGTGTGTGTAGAAATATACGTATGTGTATATATATCACTATAGGAATAAGGAAGGAGTACTAGACTCTATGGATCTCACACATTATGACTATATCTTTCTTTAGGGTATCTTTTCCTGTCTTGACTCTTAAATTCAGAGAGACCATGCAGCCCAGCTTTCACCATCTGTGTTGTCCAAACAGTCATTGGCCATGCAAACACACATCCTGAAGAAGGGTTCAAGAACCATTAAGTTGCACTTAATGATTGTATGATTCTATGATACACACACACGCACACAGTTTAGAGGAAGAATTACAATCTCACCAGGCAATAGATGTCTTCCATTTAGCAGCAGGCCGAAGATGATGATAAAATCATTAATTCTGTCAATATAAATGCTAAATAGAAATGGGAAATTGGATTCTGTCTTGTGTCACATTTTCTCTAGTAGGAAATTATAGTGGAGAAATTGAATCTGATGAACCTTCTGCTTTTATGGCCCCTCATCAAAGGTACAGCATATAGCCTACAATAAATAGCATGACACCTCTTAATTAAACAATGCCATTGTTTAGCCCAGAATACGTGTGTTTTTTGCTTGGCCGACTTGCAAGCTACAAGCTCCCATAGGGATCGTAAAATAAAGAATAAAATAAAAAGGCCATAAAGTTAACCAAAATCAAATTAACAAGCCTGCACTAATTATCTCTGGTATTATAGCATTGCGAAGGTTGCTATAGGTTGACAGATAATGTAAGTGAGCTCATTAGTAAAGTACTGAATGTTTTAATATTTGAAAAGAGAACATTTATGGCTTTTTGTCTATATATTGTATGCTTTGTACAATTTTCTAAATTAGCGTCTTAGGTTTGTAAGTTGAATTCATAAAGGCACCATTTCTGGTAGAAAATGACTACATCATAGCTGAGAAAGCCAATTTTAGACATACGTGTACTGTTTGAATATCATACTAGATGATTGCAGGCGCTTGCAGAAAGAGTACTGAGGAGAAGGAGAGCGAGAGAGCGTGTATGCAGTAAATGAGTCTGATATGATAGTGGGGGATCAGTCACAAGAAGAATATTCAGAATTTTCCTTGTATACCTGTGATTTAAATGTACTGCTTCCCTGAACACGTAGAATACTTGCTAGTCATTGACATAATTCAACTTTGACTAAAGACTGTACAAAAAGATTTTTAACTTTTCTATGTTCTTTTCACTTACTTTAATGGATTTGTCCTCCAATAGGAGAGAAAATACCAGCCCCTCCACCTCACAGAAGGCCAAGGTATTAATAAAGATCTCTTAACGCAGTCAATGGCATGGTTGCTAAAAAAAAAAACATGCTAAAAACCAAGCTGTTGTGTCCCTGTTCATTGCAGGGCAATTGGACTAGATGAACTTTAATGGTCCCTTCCAATTTAAATGATTCTATGAGAGAATGATTCTGTGATTCTGTGATACAGGAGAGACATGGACCTGTTGGAACTTGTCCAAAGGAGGGACACAAAAGTGATCCAAGAGAAGGTAGGCAGTTAGGTAGTCTGCCCAAGAGGGCAGACTTTCAGTATCTAAAGGGAGGGAGTTCAGGGCAGGTGGAAAAGGGGGCTATAAGAAAGAAAGGGACAGACTCTTAACAGATTCTTTAAAAGGGTCTGTTGTGATTGGACAAGGGGAAATGGTTTCAAACTAAAAAGAGGGGATATTTAGATTGGATATAAGGAAGAAGGTGGGGTTTTGGGTTTGTTTTTTAGGATGAGAGTGGTGATGAGACAACGGAACAGATTTCCTTGAGGTGTGTGAATGCCTCATCCCTGGGGATATTCAAGGTAGGGGATCTGAGCTGTACGTGTCCTGTTCATTGCAGGGCAATTGGACTAGATGACCTTTAATGGTCCCTTCCAATTTAAATGATTCTATAAGAGAATGATTCTGTGATTCTATAAGCTAAAAATTTTTCTGTAAAAATTTTCTGATAAACTGAATTATTTTGCTCATACACTCATTTATGATTTCCTTAAAGCTCAATCAAAACCTGTTCGAGAAAAAGAAATGCTCTTCTTTGTGTCCTGAGACAGTTGGCAGTCACAATACTTTGTTTTCTTTACACCTAAGTGCTGTATTTTGGAATGAGCAGCTCTGTAAAGTGAGTTATTCTTTTCATTATTACTAATGAAATTATTAATTTCTTACTTGGAGGCAAGTAAGAAAAGGAAAACTCAGTGCAGAGAGAGGGCACTTTGCAGTACCTCGCTGCTGGGCTACAGAAGGAAAAGTAA